AACTATTTGGGAAATGGGATTCATAACCTTTTTGGAAAACCACTGGTCAAATGGCCTTTTGAAAATATATACATCAGAGTTTTAGAAATGTTTCTTTGGTTGTCCAAAAACATCTAGTAACACTTTTTAACCTATGGCATTTAAAATATAAGCATGACTCAAAATTCCATATCATCACTTCCATTATGTAACTTTATGAATTCTTAGCTATGTAGTGGAGATGCTAAGAAATCCTTGTCATGAATTACAAAGATGTATAACAGGACAGGCAAAAGTCCCCCTTGTGTGGAGAAGGGTGGGATAGAAATGTATGACATAAATAAGTAAATAAATAAATAAAAGTTCCTAATGTGCATCGGTAGAGTTCATGAGTGGTGCAGTGGGTTAAATCCTTGTGCTGCTGAACTGCTGACCAACCTTTCATAGAATCATAGAGTTGGAAGAGACCTCATGGGCCATCCAGTCCAACCCCCTGCCAAGAAGCAGGAATATTGCATTCAAATCACCCCTGACAGATGGCCATCCAGCCTCTGTTTAAAAGCTTCCAAAGAAGGAGCCTCCACCACACTCCGGGGCAGAGAGTTCCACTGCTGAACGACTCTCACAGTCAGAAAGTTCTTCCTCATGTTCAGATGGAATCTCCTTTCTTGTAGTTTGAAGCCATTGTTCTGTGTCCTAGTCTCCAGGGAAGCAGAAAACAAGCTTGCTCCCTCCTCCCTGTGGCTTCCTCTCACATATTTATACATGGCTACCATATCTCCTCTCAGCCTTCTCTTCTTCAGGCTAAATATGCCCAGCTCCTTAAGCTGCTCCTCATAGGGCTTGTTCTCCAGACCCTTCATCATTTTAGTCGCCCTCCTCTGGACACATTCCAGCTTGTCAGTATCAAGCTTTGGTGGGAAAAGGCAAAAAGGATGCTCCAGGTACTCATGCCGGCCACATGACCAGGAGGTGTCTATGAACTATTGCAGGCTCCTCGGTTTGGAAACGGAAAACAGCACCTCCCCCAGAGCCAGGGCTTAGCACTGCCTCCAGAAGATGGAAATGAAAAAAGAAGTCTCTGCTTTTGTCTGTATATTTGTGCCTCACTGTATTGTCATTAAAAGAAGGCATTGAATGTTTGCCTGTGTCTGTTTATATATGCTGTAATCCACTCTGCGTCCCCTTGGGGAGAAGGGCGGAATATAAATAAAGTGTTAATAACAATAACAATAACAATACTAATAATATTGGTACCAGTTCAAAGCGCATGAAGACGGATGTGATGCTCATCACAGGCATCAATCTAACTGTGCACATTGCCCATTGCGCAATGGTCACTTTGCTGGCTTGGTCACATAGTAATGACACAGTGGTCCTTGATTGGACACAGAAATCATGGAATTGCCAGTTCCCACTAATGAAGACCAACAGAGCTCTGGCCATTCAGAAGCCATGCTTACAGTGCCATATTTAGGAAATGACTTAGTATTTTAAGCCATGGCCCCATTCACATTGCATAATTATTATATCACCAATACAACTGCATGAATCTTAGAACTTGAACTTGTAATTTGGTGCAGATAAGAGTTTTCTGGCAGAGGATTCCAAATACCTCACAAATCCCAGGATTCTGTAAGATGAAGCCATTGCCATTAATGTAAAATCTGTGCTCTAACTGCATACTGTAAATAGAGCCCTTGAGGCACAGAGGCTAAAATATATTCAAATGCACTACTGCAAACATAGGTGATCTGCTACATCTATCTCAACAGTGAAGCAAAAGTTTTGGGTGACCCACAATTGAAAAAAGAAGTCCATGAGACTTGGAGGACGGGCAAGGGCATAGTATTCCCAGGCGTGACATTTCTGTTGTTAAACCTTTTACTTACAAGAGAAAAAGAGGCAATTCTTTTCTGCTTTTAGCAGGGCCTGGGGTAACCATAGAGTGTTCTGTTGGGGACCCTGCACAGCTCACGTGAAACCTCATTGATTCCGCTCCTTTTGTTTGTGCAGTTTTCGTTTCATTGAAGCCAAACTAAAGGATTATTGACTATATTTTGCCCCAGGCTATGGCTGCTCTCCAAGCTGCCAAGGAGAAGCCGAAGCTCCGTGACGATGAAAAGATGACCTATATATTATTATGGATGTGTAGTAGTAGGCCAAGGAGGTTAGGCCACCACCAGGTTTCAACTCAAGTTCAAGAATTCTGAATATTTCAAAAGAAAGGCATTTAAATACATACAAGATTTAAAGCCAGGCATTTATAAGGCTTCTGACATCCCATGCTCCTATGAGTTGTGCAGTTTTGGATTTTCCTTTCACCTCTGAGAATGTCAACAGCTGAATGTCCTTTGAGTTTGAATCCAATTGTTGTACCCCAGTAGCTTTTTGAGTGCCTTCCAACCTGGGAGTCTCAGCTTCTGGTGCTATGTCATATTTAATTTTGGATTGTCTTGTCATAGGTTTTCATGGTAAAAGACTTTGAAAAGAGATTTTCTATGCCTTCTTCTGTGGCACACTAAGACATGTTATCTATGGTGCCTCCATTTAAATCGGACTTCCTGAGGCCTTATAGTTGGGAGCAATTGCCATACTATTGGTCGGTGCTGTGTGTATGATATTGGTGCTCCCACTGAATTAGTGCATTGCTGCACAATGCTGTCACTCACAAATAGGAGGTCTGGGTTGTATCTTCACTGCCATCTTCCACTGTTGTAGGATGGTGGGACCTTACTATCATGAATAAGTGATAGTTTGTGCAGTCCAGGAGAGGCCAGCCTCTCAATTTTTCTCCTCCTTAGCATAGCCCCATACATGGCTATGGCTGTTAAAGTCACCAATTACTACCAACCTTTGGTGCCTAACAAAGTTCTTAAACTTTGTGTTTCACCAATTCACCATCACATGCTCCTGCAATCACCCTTGTAATCCTGCCATCCTGACTAATACGGTTCCTTTTAAATTATTATTTCTATGCTTAGTTCAATTGCACAATTCCAGCATTTAAAAAATATCAAAAACATCACATATAAAATAAAAGAAGAAAACACTCATGGGAATAGCAAGGGAGAGGTGGAAAAGGGAGAGGGGAGGAGAATCCCACCCTTTGGTCTCTTCTCCTTCTGTGCCAGTATGCCACTTTACTGCTAGCATGCTGGCTCAAAAGAAGGGACCTATTGAACCATGACAGGTGATGGGAATTTTGTTGGATCGGTAGCCAGCTGCAATGCTTGTTGGCCTGCCTTGTGTGATAAAGTCCTAGAGTGAAGTCTTTAAGTTTTACCCATCGATAGCAGGGATGGGAGAATCATTGGGAAAGAACTGACAAACCAGTAGCAGGAAACACAAAGGTAATGGCCAGCTGCTATGCTGGTTTGCCTTTTTTGTGTGATAAAGTCCTTAAAGTGAATTTTAAGAGAGCTATCCGAGGTGCTGAACCATGGATAGTTCTTTTGAAGTTTGGAATAAACCCTATAATTGATTCAGCGCCCCATCGACATGGGACCCTATACTGAATAACTTGTACCAGAGCTTGGGAATATTACTTTTTGTAGCCATGTCTTAGGAATTTTAGCAGTTGTACTTGAAAAATGAATATTCCCCATCAGCAGGCCAGATAGAGCAATGGTCTAAAATCAGCATGATGCAGTTTGCTATGTTCCTGTGACTGGAGAATGGCCTTTCCTTTTGGACATGAACTCTGGCATTTCTTTGTCTCAAAATGCAGCTCTAAAACCTTTAAAAAAAACTCAGAAAGAAGCTGGATTCCTCGCTTACCCAAAACAGTGTAGTGCAGTTGCAGAAAACAAGACCCAGTATTGTTTACTAAGTTCCTCTCCTTTGTCTTTGATCAAATATACATGCCGCCTCAGGATACACTCTGAACAGTTTTGTTTTCATCTTTTGAGACTGCTGTCTCATCTTAGCCATTCCTTTTCAAGGTTCAGAGAGGCTTTGTTGAAACATCCCTTCATTCACCTAAGCAATTGCATTCCTCCAAGATCTGTTTTCTCTTGTGCCCTGGAGTAACTCTGTTGCCTCACCCCTCCCAGTCTTTTTTTCTGTCTTCCCTGAAGCTGAAAGGCAAACCACTTTCTAATGAGTTACATAGCGGGCACCTTTTGATAAGAGTAAATGACTACTCAAGCATCCACAGGCAGCTGCATCTAGCCCGGTCAGAAGTCTCTGGGTTTGCTCAGCAGTAAGACAAACAAACAACAGAAAATCAGTAAGTTTGATTGATAACACAAAATATTGTGCAGAATCTCAAAAGGGGAGAGTAAGAAATAATATGCTTGATAGAGTGATGTTTATTTCTGTTGAGACTTATTACATTTTCATTCCATCTTCCTGTTGCTTGCTTCTTTTTTGTTCCGCAGAATCCAAAGCAATGGTTGTTGTGTTGGAGGAAGAGCCAATGGAGCTGCATGTGCCTCTTCTCTCTCTCTCAGACTAGGGTAGTGGGAGTTGGAATGGAAAGGAGGACCTTTCATCTGCTTCTTGACCTAGACACAATGGAGTTGCACTTTACTCTTTTTCTCTATCTCCAAGACCAGGGCAGTGGCAATTGTGATGGAGGGAGTATCTTTCATCTACTTCTGGGTCTAGGCAAGATTGAATTGTATTTGTTTCCTCCTCTCTCCCTATGAGGCCAGGGCATAGATGGAGGCCTATCATCTGTCTTGAGAGCTTGATACAATGGAGCTGTCCCTGTCTCTCCCTCCAAAGCCAGGACACTGACATCCTTAATATGGAGATGGAACCACTAGGCCTATCCACTGGCCAAAGTTCAGTGGAACTTGCGTACAAAGCTAGCATTACAGAACATTGATTGTCTTGAAGAAGGAGACATCTGGAAAATGTTTTCAATATGGAGAAAGGGGGAAAAAGATACACATGTTTGAAATGAACACTGGAGTTGCAAGAACTTTGTAGGTATCTTCTTGCAGGTGTTTGGGATGCACAAGGAAGATTGACTTCTGCAGATGAACTCTCTTCTCCCTTTCTCCTTCTTGCAGCTGCAAAGAACCCACCCACAAACCTCTATATTGATTCAGAAACACCAAGCAGCATTCAAGTCCACTGGAACCCACCTGAAGGAGCTGTCCAGCACTACAGACTCACCTACACTCCAGAAAGTGGAAACAAGCGGCAGGAGATGGTATGACTTCAGGAAGTTCCTCTTCATATGTCACTTAGTTGAACTGGGGAATTTTCTACCCCTGGATGTGCCAATAGCTACTGGTTTAAAAAGCTTTATAAGGAAATTATGCAATGTGTACATGGTGAAGCTTTCAATGACTCCTGATACTCATAATGGGTTTAACACTCATTCGTGGGTTAAAGGTAGTAATATGCCTCTAAATTAAGGATGGGTAAAGTGCAGCCCATGGGCCATGTGTGCTGCCCCCTCCCCCTGGACTGTAAATGGTCCAATAGCTTTGAAAAGAGCTCAGAAAAATGGTTGAAAAATAACAATCAGAACTCTAGGATCCCTCCACTTGTATGGATTTGCAATCAAATTTTTCTAAACTCCAGAATTGCTCTTGTTTTTGGTTGTCTGGGCCATTTTAGACTAGAAAGCTCCCTTTAAGTGAAGCCATCTTCAGGGCCTAAAAATGGTCCAATAAGGTCCAACAAGGGGGATAAACCAGTTGAAAATATCCCAAACAGTCCTTAGAGAGCTGGAGGGGGGATTTTTGGTAGTGTTTTGGGTAGTGGGGATGACTCTCAAGTTCTCCTGATGTGACCTCCCCAAATTTTCCACAGATGACCACTCTTCCTCTCAATAGTGGTTGCTGGGAGATATTGCTGGGATAGGACTATTAGAGGATGGTGGATAAGGTTGACCTTTGGTCTGATTGTGCAGGAATCTTCTTATATGATTTTTGCAGGAGTATAGATCTGGAAGATAGATCATGGGTTCTTTGGTTCTTGGTTGAGAAAGCAATTTTTCCAATTATTTATTTTTTGTCACTCAAAGTGCCCTCTAGGAGTCCAAGAAGGCCCCAAACATTATGAGAATGCCTTCCTTTGAATGGAATTGATATGGTTTGGAGTTTCCTGCAGGGCTAATGGGTTACTCTTGCCTTCCACAGTTGCGAACCCTTGGAGTACGATCATATGAGTAGCCCAAGGTCATCTGGTAGGGATGGGATAAATGGGTAGGAAAGCTTGATGGAATTTTCAGAAATGTAACAAAAAAGATAAAATCAGATCTTCACATCTGTATATGGTGCACCAGGAATAGAAAGGTTTCAAGAACCATATTTTGTATCATCCAAATCAACCTTATAAAAGCATATTGTGCTAGGCTATTAAAAGATGATTCTCCCTCTTTATCTGCTTCTCTTTTTGCAGATAACTGTTTCTGGGAGAAGCAGATCTGTTACCCTTCACTCGCTCCTCCCTAACAGATTATACATGGTGACAATTTCTGCAGTCTACAGTATAGGAGAAAGCGATCCTGTATCTACTATCGGTCACACAGGTAAGCAAATCCCTTGACTGTGCATCTCCTTTTGCATCTCTCCTTATCCAATTGAAATCTGTAGAAGAGTTCCATTTTCAGTTTCCAAGAATTTCAAAAAATGATAAGAAGTGGAAAGAAGACAGATCAGATCAAGATCTCTCCTTTGTGAAGGTAAGTAGGACAAACCAATACATCATGGCATCAACATTCTTTTAAAAGGTGTGCGAAATTCAGTTTCTACAATTTACAAAGCAAAAGTAATCTCACCTCACCTCACTACCTCTGAGGATGCTTGCCATAGATGCAGGCGAAACGTCAGGAGAGAATGCCTCTAGACCAGGGGTCCTCAAACTAAGGCCTGGGGGCTGGATACGGCCCTTCAAGGTCATTTACCCAGCCCTTGCTCAGGGTCTGCCTAAGTCTGAAACAACTTGAAAGCACAACAACAGCAACAATCCTATCTCATTAGCCAAAAGCAGGCCCACACTTCCCATTGAAATACTATTAAGTTTATATTTGTTAAAACTGTTCTTCATTTTAATTATTGTATTGTTTTAAAGTGTTTTTTGCACTACAAATAACATATGTGCAGTGTGCATAGGAATTCATGTTTTTTCACATTATAATCCAGCCCTCCAACAGTTTGAGGGACTGTGACCTGGCCCTCTGTTTAAAAAGTTCGAGGACGCCTGCTCTAGATCATGGACATATAGCCCGAAAAAACCTGTGGCTATGTGGGAGTTTGTAGGAAATATGGGAAGAGAAAATAATGGTGGGCAGTTGTCTTGAGGATTTGTGTAAGTGTACTATCTATCTTGCTAACAACAAGGCAGCAGGAGACGACAGGATCCCATCTGAACTGTTTAAAATCTTGAAAGATGATGCTATCAAGGTGATGCATGTCATATGCCAGCCAATATGAAAAACACAAGAATGGCCTTCAAATTGGAAAAAAAAATCAACTTATATCCCCATACCAAAAAAGGGAAATGCTAAAGATTGCTCAAACTTTCGTACAGTGGCCCTTATTTCTCATGCCAGTAAGGTAATGCTCAAGATCCTGCAAGGAAGACTTCAGCAATACATGGAGCGAGAGTTGCCAGAAGTACAAACTGGATTTAGAAAAGGCAGAGGAACGAGATCTTTCAGAGACTTGATCCATATACTCCACGCATTGGCTCTGGTTTCGGAGAAATGAGTTGAACCAATTGAGGGCCTGACCCCGAAATCCAGTCATGGCAACACGGTGAATCATTAGATCGTAGTCAACGGTGTCAAACGCTGCGGTAAGGCTGAGAAGTACCAGTAGTGCTGATCCACCGTTATTAGACTGGCGACGAAGTTAATCTGTAATGGCAACCAGGACTGTCTCCGTCCCATGGCCAGGGCGGAAACCTGACTGGAAAGGGTCCAGGCTGCCTGTGTCATCCAAAAAATGTTGCAATTGTCCCAGTACAGCCCACTCTATCATCTTGCCTAAGAATGGAAGGTTAGAGACAGGACGATAATTGGCAAGGGCCATGGGATCCAAGCTAGGCTTCTTTAGCAAGGGACGAACCCTTGCCTCTTTTAGGTTGTCCGGGAAGACCTCCTGTTCAAGAGAGCCATTGATTATATTACTCAACGGATCGAGTAGACCTTCCAGGCAGCTCTTAACCAGCCAAGAGGGGCACGGATCAAGGGAACAGGTGGTTGGTTTTGCAGCAGCCAGGATTTCTTTAAGGAGCTGGGGGTGGTGACGGCTGACAGGGAGCTCTGGCGTGGGCTGGTCAATGAGGTCACGAAGAGTCGGGAACAACTGAATGAATGAACAACAACAACAACAACTATCCATCGATCTTTTCATTACAATTTCTTGTTTGTTGCTCCTTTTTCCATCAGTGGTGAGTGAGTTCTCGCCTTATGTCTGGAAATCCAAACAGAAGGAGAACTCACTCACCACTGATCTCTGCCAGGATAGAGATATGGACTTCAACTCCCAGAAACTTCCATATTATCCAACATTTTCATTTATCCAACATTCTGCTGACCCATTTATGTCAGATAAGCAAGACTCTACTGTATTCACAAACTTTATTTCATACACAAAGTTCAGAAAAATATTGTATAAAATACCTTCAACCAATGTATGTGAAGTGTATAAGAAATGGAAAAAAATGTTGTAGTTAGACTTGGGTCCTACTTCCAAGATATCTCATTATGCACATGTCTACATATACATGTATTCCAAACTCTAAAAAAAATCCAGAATACTTCTAGTCCTAATTATTTTGGATAAGGGATGCTCAATCTGTATTATCTTACATGTTTGTTATATGCTATCTTTTGAGAAGTTATATACATACAAACTTTTTATTCTATTTCTTGCAGCTTCAATCTTGGCTAGACTGCCGACGTCAAGAGAATCGGTTCCTCTCAGAACAGAGGGTAAGATCCTTTGGTTGACCTTCTGTATTCTTATTTTAGGATTATTTTAGTGGCATATTTTAAAATCAAAATATGAAAATGTTACTTCAAAATCTCGTGCCAGTACTTCTATTGTAAGGCACTGACTTTTCTCCAAGATGTGTTCTCTTCTTTCCCGGCATGATTTGGCTGGAACATTTAAGTCACAATCATTAGTTTCACCCCCATTTCCAAGGTGAAGCAAATGCAAATGCACAAGGTGTGGAATTATTTGCAACAAATGTCTGGCATTATCCAGCTGGCAGATATTTATTTGCTGTGCTCCTGGCAGAAAAGAAAGCTTTGAATGGAGTTCAAAAAACCCTTCAATTAACACCCTTCTCTAAATTGTGTTATTAATGTAAGTGAATTTGTCACGGGCGACTCCTCAAATGACTGGCTATAAAAGGCATTATGAACTGGGTTGGAAGGAAGCAAATACTTAGCAAACTGGGCTATAAAATATATTGGGGAGAGTCTATTGTAAAATATAGAAGTTATGTGGAAACAAGTTTTGCAACTCTAGCAGAGGCCGAGGAGGTTTTGGTTGGGTGTTTATGAGGAGAGTGCAGCAAAGAAAAAAAAAGGAAACCGAATTAAGCAGAAAATAAGCAGCGTCATCAAGATATCTTCTTGGATTCAGGTTCCTTAGGGAGATCTCATGATGAACCAGTAATGAACCCATTTGCAAACCAATTCAGAGCTCTACTAAAAAGAAGGGCATAAAATTCATCTTGCAGTTAGGAAGAAAACCCATTACACCCTCCTAAGAAAACACTATTCTAGATTTTCTAAAAGAACTTGCAGAAGACATTGTCCTGATCCAACAGAGAGTAAGATACTGGGTTAGGAAAAGAACTTGGAAATTTTGGCTGGAATTCCTTATCAGATACTAAACTGTGGAATTAATGCAGTTTGACACCTAACTGCCATGGCTCAATGCTGTGGTATCCTGGAAACTGTAGTTTGGTAAGGCACCAACACTCTTTAGCAGAGAAGGCTGAAGACATTCATAGAATCAAAGAGTTGGAAGAGACCTCATGGGCCATCCAGTCCAACCCCCTGCCAAGAAGCAGGAATATTGCATTCAAATCACCCCTGACAGATGGCCATCCAGCCCCTGTTTAAAAGCTTCCAAGGAAGGAGCCTCCACCACACTCCGGGGCAGAGAGTTCCACTGCTGAACGGCTCTCACAGTCAGGAAGTTCTTCCTCATGTTCAGATGGAATCTCCTCTCTTGTAGTTTGAAGCCATTGTTCCGCGTCCTAGTCTCCAGGAAGCAGAAAACAAGCTTGCTCCCTCCTCCCTGTGGCTTCCTCTCACATATTTATACATGGCTATCATATTTCCTCTCCGCCTTCTCTTCTTCAGGCTAAACATGCCCAGCTCCTTAAGCCGCTCCTCATAGGGCTTGTTCTCCAGACCCTTGATCATTTTAGTCGCCCTCCTCTGGACACATTCCAGCTTGTCAATATCTCTCCTGAATTGTGGTGCCCAGAATTGGACACAATATTCCAGGTGTGGTCTAACCAAGGCAGAATAGAGGGGTAGCAATACTTCCCTAGATCTAGACACTATGCTCCTATTGATGCAGGCCAAAATCCATTGGCTTTTTTTGCCGCCACATCACATTGTTGGCTCATGTTTAACTTGTTGTCCACGAGGACTCCAAGATCTTTTTCACACGTACTGCTCTCGAGCCAGGCATTGTCCCCCATTCTGTATCTCTGCATTTCATTTTTTTCTGCCTAAGTGGAGTATCTTGCATTTGTCACTGTTGAACTTCATTTTGTTAGTTTTGGCCCATCTCTCTAATCTGTCAAGATCGTTTTGAATCCTGCTCCTGTCCTCTGGAGTATTGGCTATCCCTCCCAATTTGGTGTCATCTGCAAACTTGATGATCCTGCCTTCTAGCCCTTCATCTAACCACAACTCCCATGATTCAATAGCATTGAGCAATTGCAGTTAAAATGGTGCATTAGTTCTACAGTGTAGATGCACATTCCATTAATATATATCTAGTTACTGAGTTAACTAAATCATTCCTCCTAGCTGGACCCCCTCTCCCAAAATGTGATTCACCCATCATCATTCACCCATCCTCCAATTTCCAACAAAATGGATCACCTGGGTTTAATCACAGGTTAAAAGTTATAAAAGTTAAAGTTCAAATACTTTTAAATTTCCTATAAAATTAAAAATCTTGCATAGAATCCTAGAATTGAGTTGGAAGAGACCTCATGGGCCATCCAGTCCAACCCCCTGCCAAGAAGCAGGAAATTGCATTCAAAGCATCCCCAACAGATGGCCACCCACCCTCTGTTTAAAAGCCTCCAAAGAAGGAGCCCCTACTACCTTCTCCTTGTCACACACCAGGGCTGGGAAGGTACCTTTGAACCAATCTCACACTTCAGAGTCCAATGAATAAGCAAAACAGTTTATTGAAGATTAAATGCAGCTTCAGCAAAAGAATAAAAACAATAAAAGTAATATAAAATATTGTCTATGTAAAGCAGTCACTTTAAAACTTGGAAGCAATAATCCACAAGACCAAGGCACAGGCAAAACCTTTCAACTGAAGACTTGGCACACAATATGATCCAGAGAATTAAAAATACACAAGAAGCATAACAAAGATGCCAAAAGTTATCCGAAACCAGGATAAGACTTGATTCCAGGAGCAATACAAGAAATCAGGAAAATTACTTGAAACCATGAAAACAACATAGGAAAATCCAAAACCCATGAAGCTTGAAACTAGAGAGAGATTTGCTCCCTTTACTAGACGTTGATTCCTCTGAAGTGTGAATCCTAATTAACTCTCATATATACTCAAGAAACGATGTCTTTTTCCTTGGGAAGTCTAAAGGGGGCATTTCTTAGATAACAGTCTGAGGGAGCTACATCTCCCCTCAGCCATCTGTCTTTGTTGACAGATCTGATTTTTTTCTATTTAACTCAGGGAAGTTAGACTGCTCTATATCTCCAATTTATTTATTTAAAAGTTTTGTATACCGACTTCTCACCTCTCTTGAGGGACTCAGACCGGTTTCCAACCATAATATCACATACAATCAATAAAACATCATAATACATATTACAGTAAAACATTAAAACAGCAATTACATTCAATAACTACAATGGTCAGTCATCATACTAAAATCATTGCTCATCATCCTCCATCCATATTTCAGGGTGTTGGCTCACTCGTCGAATGCTTGTCTCCATAACCAAGTCTTCACCTGTTTCTTAAATGTCAGGATAGAAGGGGTGGTTCTGATCTCCAGTGGGGGAGAGTTCCAGAGTCGAGGGGCCACCACCGAGAAGGCCCTGTCCCTCATCCCCACCAGACGCGCTTGCGAGGCCGGTGGGACCGAGAGCAGGGCCTCTCCAGATGATCTTAATAATCTTGATGGTTCATAGGGGAGAATACGTTTGGAGAGGTAAACAGGGCCGGAGTCGTTTAGGGCTTTATAGGTTAACACCAGCACTTTGAATTGTGCTCGGAAGCTAATTGGCAGCCAGTGGAGCTGGTGTAACAGCGGAGTGGTGTGCTCCCTGTACCCAGCACCCGTTAGTAGTCTGGCTGCCGAGCGTTGGACTAGCTGCAGCTTCCGGGCAGTCTTCAGAGGCAACCCCACGTAGAGAGCGTTGCAGTAGTCTAAACGGAATGTAACCAAAGCGTGGACCACCGTGGCCAAGTCAGACTTCACAAGGTACAGGCGCAGCTGGCGCGCAATTAACACATTATTCCCTAATTCCGACCTTGATTCTCTTGGGAAAGCTAGCTCAGGCCTCTCAGCCTCTGGATCTGACTTTAACTGAACATCTACTATTGGCCTGACAATCCCAGAATCCTCAGCTCCATCATGAGCAACAGTACTCTCCTGCCCCGAATTCCCATTTTTAGACCATTGTGGGTCTGCAGGATCTTGTTCACTGTTCTCTAAAATCACAGGCAATGAAACAATCACAGGCTGAACCACAACACTCCTTAGCATTCTTTTCCACTTTCTCTCTTTCGTTTCTACCTCCCTTCCTCTCATACACATGTCAACTTTTTTTTCCATTGATGTCACAGAGGGCCACTTCACTTAGCAACAGCCAATCCTTCAGATAGCAGCAACTAATCCAATGATATCACAGGAGGCGACTTCACTTAGCAAGAGCCAATCCAATGACATCGCAGAGGGCCTCTTCACTTCAAACAAATACACATACATACTTTGACTTGTATAGATAGTTTTTGTTCATTCATTCAGTTGCTTCCAACTATTTGTTAACTCATGGACCAGCCCACGCCAGAGCTCCCTGTCAGCCGTCATCACCCCCAGCTCCTTCAAGGTCAAACCAGTCACTTCAAGGATAACATCCATCCATCTTGCCCTTGGTTGACCCCTCTTCCTTTTTCCTTCCATTTCCCCCAGCATCATTATCTTCTCTAAGCTTTCCTGTCTTCTCATGATGTGGCCAAAGTACTTCATCTTTGCCTCTAATATCCTTCCCTCCAATGAGCAGTCAGGCTTTATGTCCTGAAGGATGGACTGTTTGGATCTTTTCGCGGTCTGAGGCACTTTTAGAATTTTCCTCCAACACCACAGTTCAAAAGCATCTGTTTTCCTTTCCTCAACCTTTCTAGATAGATAGATAATATATTAATGAGAAGGAGGACAAGGATGGCATAAGCAGAGGTTCAGAAAGACCTTTACAAAAACAGAACACTTTCTTAAATGTCCTTGCCTTTTGGGAGCCTCTTTAATTGTTATCATCAAGGCTCCCTTTGCCTCCATTCAGCTTGTCCCCTGCACCCTCCCTGCTTTGGTTGCCTGGCACTGTTACAGAAGCAAATAACTGCAGTGCTTTTGGTTTTTGAAGGAGTCTTTTTTGACTCAACCCATTTAAATGGAGAACACTTTATAAGTCTTCACCAAAGAGCCTTTGATTCTTTCTCTCTTATCTCTGATTTGTATGAGCGACGGTGCCTGGTTTTTGATTCTCTTGCTCAAAGGATGAGAGAGGATTTAGCTGGGGATTTCCTGTAAAAGGTGAATTGCAGACGAATGCCAAAGTGTTTATATTTTGTACAAAACAACTCTCTTTACCTTCCACAATGTCCCCGGCAGAATGGGCCTTGAAATGAACTGAAGGGGGAGGAAAGCCTTTCTTCTTTTCTCAAGCGAAAATGAATGTAATAAATATGCCAGCACAATTACTCACGGAGTCATTGTACAGGATTGCATTTCTTTGTGAGTAAACAACAACAGTTTTGCTTTGAGGTGACAACGGCATTTAACAGAGTGCAGTCTGAGAAGCAGAAAGTGGTCTGGTCACTAAAAAGAGAACAAAAAAGATGGTCAAGAACTCTACTGTAATTGAAATTAATCATGGCATTTATGCGGTTGCATTAACTGGCATTTAATGATAATCACATTTTGACAAGTAAAGGAAGGAGGACATTACGATCACTCATGGTGGGTGAGATAGACGAGACAGAATGACAGAAATTCCAATACTCTGTCTTTTTTCAGGACAGTTGACATCAGGGCCATTTTGCAGACAAGCCTAGCTTCATATCTTTGGATGATACACATATTTCCAAATGTGTCTGTCCCATCCATCCAGTATAAATCAACAACATTGTAGGGATACATCTGGGAAATGTAATGTATGTTTGCCCCTGAGTTGAAGGCTGGAGTATTGGAACTGGATGTGGGATGTTTATGGTCCAAACTTAGATCAATGGTCTAACCCTTAAAGTACAATTTCAGACACTTCTGTAGGTATGGAGCAGTGGTTCTCAACCTTTGGGCCTCCAGGTGTTTTGGATTTCAACTCCAGGAATCCCAGCCATCTTACCAGCTGTTAGGAACTGTGGGAGCTGCAGTCCAAAACACCTGGAGGCCCACATGTATAGAGGAAACCAAATGGGAGCAGAATTCTTATTACTATGACTTTCCTTTACTCCTGAAATAAAGGTTGAGCATCCTTATCCAAAATGCCAAAATCCACCAAAATTCTCCACATGGGTAGTTCAAATAATGACATCTTTGTTTTCAGAAGATTCAATGCACATAAGCTTTGTTTCAAGTACACGTTTATTAAAAATATTGTGTATAAACTTACCTTCAGGCAATGCTTATGAAGAGACATGATGGCCATGTATAAAAATGTGAGGGGAAGTCATAGGGAGGAGTGAGCAAGCCTTTTTTCTGCTGCCCTGGAGACTGGGACATGGAACAATGGTTTCAAACTACAGGAAAGGAGATTCCACCATCTGAACATGAGAAAGAACTTCCTAACTGTGAGAGCTGTTCAGCAGTGGAACTCTTTCCCGGAGTGTGGTGGAAGCTCCTTCTTTGGAAGCTTTGAAACAGGGGCTGGATGGCCATCTGTCAGGGGTGATTTGAATGCAATATTCCTGCTTCTTGGCAGGGGGTTGGACTGGATGGCCCATGAGGTCTTTTCCAACTCTTTGATTCTATGATTCTATGATTCTATGTGATGGGGAAGCATCAGTGGGGTGCCGGGATTGTCCCACTGCTCCCTCAGTTAACCACAGAGACTGGTAAATTGGAACACTGGACCTCATCAATGTGATGAGATCCTAACAATGAATGAACATAGATAGTTGTGACCACGTAGCAGCTTTGCAAAGGTCGGATAATGATATTCTGGATAGGATTTATGCTAACAAACCCAACGCCCTCAATGAATGTGCATGGTGGCCTTCAGGAACAGGTTGTATAGCAGATTCATAAACCAAATAAATAAATTGGACAACCTATTTAGATAATGTTTGCAATGACGCTTGTTGACCTTTCTTGGACCACCATGACAGACACATAATCTATTGGAAGAGGGATAGGCAGCTGTGTGCTGAATATGAAATGCCAGCACCCTTTCTATATCAAGACAGTGCAAGGATTTCTCTAATGGGGTTGTTGGTTGTGGATCAGCAGGGGGAAAATCCACAATCTCTAGAACAACCAAAACAGATGGTTCCGGGAAAAGTTTGGAAATTACTTTTTCTCAGTTCCAGCAGTTAGCATGAGTATCATAGTCCAATCAAATAACACCTGAGATTCCCTGTAGCTACATCTCTGTAGTTTTCTCTCCAAATTCTACCCCTTGCCCCAGTTATAAGCTGTTCAGCCCAGTATAGCCATTTCTATATTGTTGGAAGTGGAGGGATCACTGAAAATATATCCAGATATATTATGGTATATCTTTTACCTTGATATGTTGCAGCAGGCATCTGCAAGGAACTCTGGAGGTCTCAGTAGATCCCTGCAGATAACATCTATGTAGCAAATCCATGTGCAGGGAAGTATCTGGATGAATCCCCACTGAATCATGCCCAGCTCTCCAGCCACCACTCCACCTTAGTGAAAAATGTTTCTGTGCCACTTACTTTTTTCCTGAGCTCAGCAAATGACAAGGTTGTCCTCAGATTAATAAATGCTATAATTAAAAAGTGTGCCTTGAGGTTTCATTTTTAAAGGTGATTTTAAGTGGGAATGAACAATAGCCAGAAACACAGTAAAACTTTAATTGAAAGTGTTTGACAACTGCTTTTGTCCAAGAGAAGAGAAGATAAGAGGCCCCTTCACTGATTATGCCACATAAAAGTATTTTGCTTATACTCTGTGAAAATAAGAAACCAGGAATGTGCATTAGCAAGCATGCATTTCCTCAGAAAGCAAGATTTATCTGTGGCTCCCTGGTGAGAATGCAAGTTGAAGGGTGTCCCAAACTGGAGTGGTAGAAGTTAAACAAGTTTTGTATGTAAACTATCCCAGACATTTATAAGAAAAAGCTATATTCTATTCTGGAATTGAATGTAGTTCCAGGGCTCCCCAAGAGTTCTTTGAAACTAACTGAGAAAACAAAATAGTAGCATATACTTTCACGTTGCATCTGATGTAGACTTACCCTATATATTTACCTTGTAAATGTTGAGATGTTTTAGTAAAAAAAAAATCAGCCTAAAAACCCTGGGTTGACTTCTCCATGGATCAATGGGCGTACTCTACCTTATCAAAAACGGAATCATGCCTTTCTCAGGGTAAAATAGTGAAAAGCAAGAGCTTAATCCATCTCAGGAGAACATAAAAGAAGCATTGGATCCCTCTGCACTCTCTGACATATTACTGCTTCTGGGCTTTTGGAATGTCTGGGTTGGGAAATGGTGGTGGCATCCAGGGACATCTGTCCTTCCAAGGCTGCATTGGTGCTTTACCCTCACTGCCGGATGACCTTCAATTTATTCAAGGGTAATATTAAAATCTATAATTGTGGCCCCAAAACCTGCCCTCAACATATATATTAGTATGGACAGTCTACCAGCTTTCTTCTCCCATTCAGGACTGGTTCACACATACAAGCCTAGGTTAGGACTTTTGACAATAAGCACTTCCATCTTGTCTGCCTGTCACTCTGGCCATATCTCCATGCAAACCAAGGGTTAGCAAAGTGTTTGTATGTCTTCAAGACCCTTTCTGTTATTTTTTTTAAAAATATATTCCAAAATGTGCTCTAGGAAGTGAGGAGTCATTTCCCTATGTTTTGGAACCTACCTGGAAGCATGTTGCCTATGGGAGTGGGTGATCTGTATCATTTTAAGCCCAGAAGACCCCTTTTTACAACAGGGAATGATCTACACCAGTTTTCAGGATGTAAACTGGTGTAGATCATTCCCTGTTGTAAAAAGGGGTCTTCTGGGCTTAAAATGATACAGATCACCCACTTCCATAGGCAACATGCTTCCACATCCATAGAGGGCATTTGAGAACAAAAAAGCCCCCTTTTTGTGGGATTATGCCCCCTCCCCCCAAAGTCCTTATGTGGGACGATATGTCTCGCTTGCCTAGGTGTGGACCAACTTCAGCCCTCCAGGTGTTTTGGACTTCATATTTCACAATTCCTAACAGCTGGTAGGCTGATAGGAATTGTGGGAGTTGAAGTCTAAAACACCTGGAGGGCTGAAGATTGCCCATATCTGCCATAGCCTCTGACAGTTGTCCATCACTGTATTAATAGATGTTTATCTATGGGTATAAATTACCATATGCATTTCCTTTTTCAACTATGTTGCCAGTCTAATTAAAAGCAAGTCCTGACTCTCATATTGTGTCAAAAATAAAAATACAACAGCTTTAATGTCAACATTGTCCTCTGCATTGACAACTGTTATATTGTTTTAACATCCCCCTTTCTTCCCATGCTCTACATCATCCTGCAGACTGTCCCGTCCTTGACTCCACAGAAGGCTTTCTGCAAGGTAGGTAAACCTGTTGCCACTGTGTTCCTTAAGTATGAAAAAAATAATATCTCTTTCTCTTTTAGATTCTGAAAGACTTTAGTACTGTCTGTAAGAATTAAAGCAAATGATAAACCCAATTGAACTGGCATTTTCTACTGACAACAGTAAGACTTGACGTTTGTGCAGAGATGCTGACGGACAGAGGCATATTCAGAGTATTCTTAAAGAAAACACACTGGTTTTGTTCTGGAGCCAGTTAGAAAACTTTGCCAAGGAGTTTCTAAGCAGCTTCGTGCTACTGAGATATAGTATTTAAGGACAAAATAAGAGGCAGGTGGAAGCTAAAGACATCTTAGGATTGGCCAGCCAGCCAGAGCTTTCCTCTCCCTGGAATGATTATGCAGACAGAATGCATGAAGGAGTCGTGTCAGGAGTTACTCTGGAGTGAACTAATATGATGACTGAGGGGAAAAAAACTATTTAGGTGCTCTTTGAAGGTATGTTTTAGTCTTCTGAAAGTTTTTTATTGCATATCAAAAGGTCCATGGGGAAATATTAAACTCAACCTTTTGCACAGGCACATAACACTAACCGTGTGAGTCTATAAAAAAGTGGGAAGGATCAATGTTCATTGCCTTTCTAGATATATTCCTTTTCAACTTTCTGTCCAGTAAGAAACAAAAACAAAAAAGGATTTCACTAGCAGACTTGTCTAGTGCCTTAGCCGGACCCCTCTGACCTTTCCCACTTGATAGTAGTCTTAAATGTATATATAGTTTACAGCTACAGTTCCTCCTTTTGCACGATAACATTAATAGCATTGGGTGCAAACTTTAATTGAGATGAGAAGATTGCAAGGCTGGGATCTTTTTGTTACATTTAATCCAGCAAGTGTTCTAATTCTCCAAAACGAGAATGGTCTCCCTTTCCCTGCAGACACACACTGTCTCTAAGATAAAAATCAGAACTGAGCAATAAAAAAAAAATAGACAATGTCGAGGAAATGAAACTGGTGGAAGCAGAATATTGATTAAACCCACTAAAAAAATAAATAAAACGCCATGTCCCCTTTACTATTTATATGGTTATCTCTCCCCCACTTGTCCCTTTCCTCTGCCCCCACCTTGGTCTCAGCAGCCCATAAATTCAGATAAGCAAAGGAGGGAAAATTGCTGATTGTAAAGACTTGAGAAAGTGACTCATCGGCCTGTAATGAGAAGCCAGGGAAGAAGGAGAAAGCTCCATGGATACAAATTAATTCTTCTTTTTTGGTCTCTCTGTGTGGGAAAATATGTATTCACCAAATCTTGCAGGTCAACCCTTGCTTAGCAGTTTGAAGCAGATGGAAAGGGAAAGACATCAAAATGGAAACAAGCTTTGTAATTTATTCCCAGCGTATTCATTATAGCATGTCCGCTGATGCAATTCTGGAACAATTGGATTCCTCTTTATGGCTGATTCACCAAATCATTTAAGTGTAAGTGTTGTGGAAAAGCTGGTGCAGTTCTGTGGACTGCAAATTGGTCTTGCATCTGGTTCCTCAGTCCCCATTTCTCTAGTGATTGGCATGTGCCATTATTTGGCTATTGTTCATAGAATCATAGAATCATAGAATCATAGAATCATAGAATCATAGAATCAAAGAGTTGGAAGAGACCTCATGGGCCATCCAGTCCAACCCCCTGCCAAGAAGCAGGAATATTGCATTCAAATCACCCCTGACAGATGGCCATCCAGCCTCTGTTTAAAAGCTTCCAAAGAAGGAGCCTCCACCACACTCAGGGGCAGAGAGTTCCACTGCTGAACGGCTCTCACAGTCAGGAAGTTCTTCCTCATGTTCAGATGGAATCTCCTCTCTTGTAGTTTGAAGCCATTGTTCCGCGTCCTAGTCTCCAGGGAAGCAGAAAACAAGCTTGTTCCCTCCTCCCTGTGGCTTCCTCTCACATATTTATACATGGCTATCATATCTCCCCTCTCAGCCTTCTCTTCTTCAGGCTAAACATGCCCAGCTCCTTAAGCCGCTCCTCATAGGGCTTGTTCTCCAGACCCTTTGATCATTTTAGTCGCTCCTCTGGACACATTCCAGCTTGTCAATATCTCTCTTGAATTGTGGTGCCCAGAATTGGACACAATATTCCAGGTGTGGTCTAACCAAAGCAGAATAGAGGGGTAGCATTACTTCATATTATTACCATCCCACTCTTCTGCCACATCTCATTTTATTATCCTAGTGACTCCAGGGGCAACTGTTTCATAGGTAAGGATTTGAAATATGCTTTCTTAGTTTTCATTTTCTATCCACTTGAATTATCTTCTTATTGCTGCTGTGCCTGACCGGGCATTGAGAACAATGTGTGTTGCTTTGCGTGGTGCAACCAGCAATCTAGTCCTGGTATCTCATATACCACAGTCTATAGTGATAACAATTTCTGATTCATCCATCATTAGCCTCATATACAGAAGCTCTTATTAAAATAGGATATATAGAAACTATATGGAATGGAGTCCATAAGGCACGGAGACTATCAGGAAGCAGGGGTTTGTTTCTTCAGGCATTCACGTGCCTCTGATATGTACACAATCATTCACCACTCTGACTTAGGGTATAGCCACACTGTAGAATTAATGCATTTTGACAGCACTTTCACTGCTATATTTTAATGCTGGGCTGGTGAGGTACCTGTACTCTTTGGCAGAGAAGAGCAAAGATGAGAAGACTAGTGAAATTGATAGAGAAGACTTGTAAAATTATAACTTCTAATTTTTTTTGTTGTGTCAGGAGCAAGTTGCTTATGGTGTGAGAGAATTGGCCATCTGCAAGGACGTTGCCCAGGGGACACCTGGATGATTTGATGTTTTTATCATCCTTGTGGGAGGCTTCTCTCATGTCCCCGCGTGAAGAGCTGGAGCTGATAGAGGGAGCTCATCCGCCTCTCCCCGGATTCGAACCTGCGACCTGTCGGTCTTCAGTCCTGCCAGCAGAGGGGTTTAACCCACTGCGCCACCGGGGGCTCCTATGATTCCATAGGATAACTCCTATGATTCCATAACTCCTATGATTCCATAGCATCAAGTCATGGCAGTTAAAGTGGTATCAAACTGCATTAATTTTATTGATGCACTCAACATTTCATGAGTTACTGGATACTCTTGCTTCTGATGTACAGTAGAACCATAGAGTTGTTGGAAGAAACCTTGTGGGCCATAGAGTCCAACCCCCTGCCAAGAAGCAGGACAATCGCATTCAAAGCACCCCCAACAGATGGCCATCCAGCCTCTGTTTAAAAGCCTCCATAGAAGGAGCCTTCATCACACTTCGGGTAGAGAGTTCCACTGCTGAACAGCTCTCACAGTCAGAAAGTTCTTCCTAATGGTCAGGTGGAATCTCCTTTCCTGTAGTTAGAAGCCATTGGTCCAAGTCCTAGTCTCCAGGGCAGCAGAAAACAAACTTGCAGTACAGTTTAAAAACTGAAAATAAGTGATTCATCCCTTTACATACACACTCTCCTTCTTCCTCTACTTTTTTCCTCTCTGCCCATTTTATCCCTGTTTCTTCTATTGTCTTGCATATTATAACACACAGGCACCTCCTAAAATATGAACGCAGTGTTCACCAAAAATATAAAGCCATCAAAAGGAAGAGGGAGTATGGTTGTTGAACCAGCTGTATATTTAAAGTTCTGTTTATTATAATTGTTGAAAAATATCCCACTGATTATACCAATATCAGGGGAGATTAAAGCAGAGAAGGGGAGAGACACTTAGTATTTTAAAAGGTAGGAACTGGGAAACACTAGAACTGAGAGACTCAAAATGCTTCTTCAAATCAATGCTGCTGCCACCATTCCAATATTAATCAGGCTGAGGTAATATTGTGAGTTTGTTCTACAACATACACTATGCCACTATAGTTCCTTAGTGGCTGCTGTGAAGCTGATTTTAGAAATACTTTGACCACACAGGTACCCACACTGAGGCTGGTATAAGTTAAAAAAAGAACAAGAATGTTTATTGAACAAGCTTGAAATAATTCAGGTACGAATGCTCAATGGTTTCAGAAAATGCTGGCATGAAAAGCTTGTGGTTGTGTTAGAATAAGAATCTTAAACTCTTCTGGGTTGCACGTCTTCAACGTTCCACCACAGAAAATTACTTCAGGGAATTAATCTCTGAAAGTAACTCCTCAAAATGCCCCTTAGGAATCTAGCCAAAAATACCCTGAACTAGACTTCCCTAGGGATTGAACAGTCCACTAACTGGGTACTACTCCACCACAGTATTCTAGCTATCTACTAAATAGCTACTCTGAATACATCACAAAAGACTGACCCAATCTTTTTCTCTAAACCCAGACTCACTCTAACACCAACTCTTCCAATTGCTCTCTAACAACTCCAACCGACAACTTCCAAACTGACTCCCTGGGACCTCAAGCCTCTGTTTAAAAAGGACACTTTTTTCTCTAAACCACTTAGGCTCCACCCCCGTCTTTCTAGCCAATCCTAGCCTCCTTATTTTCCCTCTAAAACTTGAACACACCCCCTCAAGGGAAAACTTACTAAAATGGCTTTCTAAAATGGATGCTGTGGCTTCACCAGGCCCACTCCCTTATGCTTCAGTCAGCCAGCTAAGGTAAGGGATTCATTACACATATCAAGGGAGAGCTCATTCCTGCAGACATTGAAATTAGATAAACCTGGTAGTCACATCTATCCCATTGCCCACTCTGGTTTTATACCATGTCCCGTTTCCTACTTTCTCTAGGTTTCAACATGATGGAGGCATTTGGGTTGATGGAGAAGGAGTATGCTTCCATCAAGGGGGTAGCTATGGAACCCTACATCTTCCTGGGCACTCACACATATACCCTCTTCAGAGATATCCAGCTAACCCAGAAAACAAGGTAACATGGGAAATCATATCTGGAGATTCTGGATTGGTGTAAAAAAATCCGGCTGCTGTACTGTGGGATTCAATTGCTAATTTCAATGCAAACTAGCTATTGTTTCCTTCAGTTTGGATGTAAGTTGGATCTGTGGTTTGATTCTCAACCTGTGGGTCCCCAGATGTGTTGGCCTTCAACTCCTAGAAATCCTAACAGCTGGTAAACTGGCTGGGATTTCTGGGAGTTGTAGGCCAATATACCTGGGGGCCCACAAGTTGAGAACCACTGATATAGAGACATGGAAGAGCAGTTCCTTGCTGTTAATGTTACCCAGTGTTTATAGTACTTTATTACATTCCTTGTTGCTATTCTCTATGAATACAAATACCAATGGATACTCCACCACAGCATCAGAAGAACTGCAAGACCAAGAAGAAGCCACGAGAGTAAAGACATAGATCCACCCAGAGGAAAAGTGTTCTTACCATACACCAAGGGAATCACTGACTTCATAGGGAAGCTGATGAAGAAGCATAACCTTCAAACTATCTACTAAGAAAATCCAATGAATGCTACATTCAGCAAAGGACAAGAGGGATCCTCTCACCTGTGCAGGAGTCTACCAAATCCCATGCAGCCGTGGACAAGTCTACATAGGGACCAACCAATGCAGGATCACCCAGACATGAATCAAGGAACATGAAAGACACTGCAGACTAACTCAATTTGAGAAGTCAGCCATAGCAGAGCACCCAGTAATCCAACCTGGACACAGCATATTATTTGAGAACACAGATATGCTGGACCACTCTAACAACCACCATGTTAGACTACACAGAAGCCACTCAAATCTACAAGCATGTAGACAATTTCAACAAAAAGGAGGAAACTATGACAATGAACAAAATTTGGCTACCAGTATTAAAAAAAACCCTCTAAAATCAGGACGGTAAATAAAGAACAATACTCAGAAAACAGGGAATTCCAGACAGGAAACAACCAGGGCCAGCTAACACCTCCAAACAAAGGATTTCCCCATGCAGGAAGCAGCCAGGCTTTGAAGCTGCAAGGCTATTCAGTGCTAATCAAGGTGGCCAATTGCAACATTCACACTTGCCTCAAACAGACACCCTGGACATTTCAAAGATATATAAATCTCCCTTGTCAAGTTTCCAACACACCTCACAACCTCTGTGGATACCTGCCATAGATGTGGGTGAAACATCAGGAGAGAATGCTTGTGGGACATTGCCTTACAGCCCGGAAAATGCACAGCGACACAATATAAATACCCATATGAAAGATTCTTTTTTAGAATAAATGCTGTAAATGGTAACAAGAAAATAACTATATGGATATCATTCTCACTTGCTTAGAGCATCTCGGATGGAGGGCGATTAATAAGTAATTAAAGATGATGATGATGATGACTTGTTACATGACTAGTAAAATGTAACTTTCTTGCCCAAAGTGTAACTCATTGCAAAAAAAGAGTGGTGCAGACTGAACATTCCTTATCTAGAATTCCAAAATCTCAACTACTGCAAACTCCAAAATTGCCTAGATGGGTGGTTGAGATAGTGACACCTTTGTTTTCTAATGGTTCAATTCATACAGAATTTGCTTCATGCACAAAATTATTAAAACCATTGTGTAAAATTGTCTTCAGGCTATGTATATAAGTTGTATACAGATCATAATTAGACTTCAGTTCCATCCCCAACATACGTTATTATATACACATATGCAAACATGGGTATTCCAAAATCTGGAAAAAAAACCCCTCTAAAATCCCAAACACTTCTGGTCCCAAGTGTTTTGAACATGGGTTGCTCAACCTGTAATTCTAACTTGCTGCTTCCAGGCTCTGGTAATGATGTCACTCTTGTGTTATATAATTCTGGAATCACATAGGTTCCTACGAGGAAAGAGCACTGAGGATAAATGAGGCCAAGGCAAATGAGGGCAAAAAAGTGGGGAAATGGCAAAAGGAAGACACAACAGCAGGAAGAGCAAAGGAGCAATGGACAAAGGCCTTGATAAAATGCAAAGATTCAGTGATTTGTTTAACTCTGGCAAAATCTGCTAACTTTTAAGCAAATGTCAAAAATAGAATATTCAAAGGAGCTCTGAAGCTCTTGTAAGAGTGACTAATTTCAAAGGGAAGGTCATTATGGGCAGATCTAATACATGGTTCTTGAAAATGTTACATATTAGAATTGTTGTGATGTGTTTTGAATATTTTAAAGCATAGATATCCTAGGGCTGTGTTGCTGCTTCACCTGAAATGAATCAGGCTGATCTGGAACAGCTTAATTCAGATCCAAAGTGGGGCAGATACATTGGGATGGTGTACGCCATGATGAACCAACATGGTGTGGTGGTTTGATTGAACAATGACATTTAGAAATACAGTTTTGACATACAGAGAAATTGGGCAAGCAAGGTCATGAAGGACTTTATCCCATTCATGAAGTGGGAACATTATATTACTGTGGCATTTAGTGCTGTAGCATTACAAAGCACATAGTTCTGTTTGTTAATCCTTATTTATTTATTAACAGTATTTATATCATAGAATCATAGAATCAAAGAGTTGGAAGAGACCTCATGGGCCATCCAGTCCAACCCCCTGCCAAGAAGCAGGAATATTGCACTCAAATCACCCCTGACAGATCCAGCCTCTGTTTAAAAGCTTCCAAAGAAGGAGCCTCCACCACACTCCGGGGCAGAGAGTTCCACTGCTGAACGGCTCTCACAGTCAGGAAGTTCTTCCTAATGTTCAGATGGAATCTCCTCTCTTGTAGTTTGAAGCCATTGTTCCGCGTCCTAGTCTCCAGGGAAGCAGAAAACAAGCTTGCTCCCTCCTCCCTGTGGCTATTCTTTTCACCCATTCTTTTCACCCTGAAGAGGACTCATTGCAGCTTTACAAAAGGCAACAATTCAATGCCATATCAACAACAAATATAAATGAAACACATACATTAAAACTTGAATTTAAGATCCATATAAAAATTAAAACACATTATTAAAATTATGCAATCTGAGATCATGGTAAAAAAAACCGTTCCAGTTGTTACTGCACATTTTCCATCTTCACTTGTTTCACTGCACTATTGGTCAAAGGCTTGGTCCCAGAGCCATGTTTTACTTGCTTTCTGAAGGTCAGGGAGGGAAGGAGCTGACTTGATTTTGCTGGGGAGGGAGTTCCATAGTTGAGGGGCCACAACTGAGAAGGCCCAGTCCCTCATCCCCACCAATTGCTCCTACGAAGGAGGTGGGACAGAGAGCATGGCGTCTCCAGACAATCTTAACCTCTGAGTTGGTTCATAGAGGGAGATACATTATCCCATGTTCTTTCTTGCCTTTTCTCCTGAAATCATCAATTTTCAGATTTATCACATGAGCTAGTGCAGTTCTTGCCCACCCCATTTTTTGTAAAAGAAAACCTTGAACAAAACCCCTCTGGAGGCATACTTGGTTTTCCCCTTTCTTCGGTCCTGCTGCTCTGGAGTAGACTCGGGGCACTCATCTTAAAGAGACGCCACTCTGGGAATACTGGGCTTTCCTCCCAATCTCAGTACTCTCCATTCCAGAAATCTGAAACTTAAATAGCAAACAGTATAGACATTCAAAACAAAGATATTTTGAAATTTCAGAATTTCAAATTATCACATTACTTTGAAACAATTACCATGCCAGGCTCATGAAGCAGGACCTTCCCTTACTTCACATCACTGAAGCAATTCAGTACGAGTAAGTATGACAGCTCCCATTCCACACTTTTTGCTTTTTTCCCCAATTATATATTGTTTCCTGAATTCGGAAGATGATCTTTGATCATCTTTCTTCCCTGTTTTCAAGGACTTTTGAGACACTTCCCTAATGATTTTGACAAGAAGTCCCCCTGTCTCATGGGAAGGGCTCTGTCATATGTTATTTTTCTGTTTTCCAAGTGTCTAGAAAGGGGAAAGTGTTGTTGTTGTTTATTCATTCAGTCACTTCTGAATCTTCATGAACTCATGTACCAGCCCCCAACACAGCTCCTTGTTGGCTGTTGCCACCCCCAGCTCCTTCAAGGTCAAGCCAGTCACTTCAAGGATGCCATCCATCCATCTTGTCCTTGGTCGGCCCCTCTTCCTTTTTCCTTACATTTTCCCCAGCATCATTGTCTTCTCTAAACTTTCTTGTCTTCTCATTATGTGGCCAAAGTACTTAAGTACTTTGCCTCTAATATCCTTCCCTCCGGTGAGTAGTCAGGCTTTATTTCCTGGAGTATGGACTGATTGGATCTTCTTGCTGTCCAAGGCACTCTCAGAACTTTCCTCCAACACCACAGTTCAAAAGTGTCAATCTTCCTTTTCTCAACCTTCCTTATGGTCCAGCTCTCACATCCATAGGTTACTTACTTGGAATACCATTGCTTTAACCATGCAGATCTTCATTGCCAGTGTGATGTCTCTACTCTTCACTAATTTATTGAGATGGGGAGGGTGGGTCAGATAAAGTCCCAAGACAATCCAAACATAACAAATCCAGGAGTTGAGATCCAAGCGGGGTTGAGTGGGAAAATTCTTGTTTGGGTGAGCTTATAATGACACCCTTGTATTATATATAGGTGTTGCTGATTTGTAATTATCTTGACATAGAGTTCCATATATCAATAAGTGCCTTGGAATGAAAACTGAGTCATGAAATATACCTTACTATAAGCAGAGTATGTGTGCCTCTCACCCTTGTTTTGGTATGCAGAGTCCCTCCTCAGCATTTCTGTTTTCACTCTCTTTACTCACTGTATCATTAACCATCCATCTAGCGGACCATCTGATAAGAGAGACAGAGCTCTGTCACATGTAATTTGGTAGTGACACACTTAAATTTTAATAAGATCCTGGATGCTTTTCCCTCCTCCTCTTTCTTCATTTTGCTTTGGAAGGAGTGATCAAACTTACACCCCATTTTTAGAAGAAGTCATTGCTGGGAGGTATTTGTGACCTTTGCCTTTGACATGGTCATCA